AAAAGGCTAAAACCTGTTGGACTTACCCCGTGCTGTGGGGAATCTGAAAAGAAAAGGAGGCAGGGGGAGGGTGGGTGGAAGTGGTTTGCAATGCAAATCTGCCTCGCCCCGCACGGCTCGTCTCCCTACAAGCAGGAAAAAACGGGTGGGTAAAGTTTTCCCGGAGCGCCCGAAGCGGTTCGGGAGCCTCCCCAGGGCCCGGCTCCCGAATCGCCCCGGGGGGGCTGCTGGAAGTTTTACCTGCGTTGGCAACGTCCGTGGAGGCACGAGGGGGGTGGGAGAGGGGCCCTTACCTCCTCGGTGGATGATCAGCAGGTGACACGGAGGGGCCTCTTTGGTGCATTTGTTGTGGCACTTGAGCCTGGCAGGGAACAGAGAGAGAGGAGTGAGGGGGGGGAAGGTGAAGGAGGCACGGAGAGCCCCGGGATGGAGAGCACGGAGGGACAGGAGGAGGGGGAGCAGCTTCCCACTGCCAGAGGGCAGGGATAGATGGGATACTGGGAAGGAATTCTTCCCCGGGAGGGTGGGGAGGCCCTGGCACATGAATCCAAGGATTGTTTGATTAGCAGAAGGAAATCTCCCCTTCCAAAACTGGCATCCCACAGAGGGAAAAGCTGGGAGGGGAAATGGAGGTAGAGGGTATGTGAGGGTGTGATGGAGAAGAGAAGGCTCCAGGGAGACCTGAGAGTCCCTTCCAGAGCCTAAAGGGGCTCCAGGAGAGCTGGAGAGGGACTGGGGACAAGGGATGGAGGGACAGGACACAGGGAATGGCTTCCCACTGCCAGAGGGCAGGGAGAGATGGGATACTGGGAATAAACTCTTCCCTGTGAGGGGGTGAGGCCCTGGCACAGGTTGCCCAGAGGAGCCGTGGCTGCCCCATCCCTGGGATGGTGAGAAGTGTCTCTGCCCACGGCAGAGGGTGAATCAGATGAACTCTGAGGTCCCTTCCAACCCAAACCATTCTGGGATCCTACGAATCCATGATGTGAAGTGGAACAGGGAGCATCATCATCCCCTTCCGCCCCCAGGGAGGTGACTGGATGTGAGGCCTTGCCCCTGGGTCTCACTGCCTGAGCCAACCCTCTGGGAAGCCCCACAATTCCCAGGCGGCAGCTCAGGGACAGGGAGCAGGACAGGCTGGAGCAGCAGGGTGGGCTGGCAGGACACGGGGGCTGCACTCCCTTGGCAAATCTCTTGGGTTGGAGCAGCACAGGAGCTCCCAAACCTGGAGGCACTGCCCAGCTCCCTCTTTTCCTGCCAGCTGGAGGGTGCCCGAAATTCCCCCTTGTGCCAGTGGTGGCTGAAATAAAAGTCCTGCACTGGGGTAGAGGGTCATGGGAGGTGTCCCTGCCGTGGGAGGTGCCGTGGCAGTGGCTCAGGACTAAATGGTCATTACGGGCCCTTCCAGCCCAAACCATTCCATGATTCCATGAAACCCCCACCCTTCCAACCACCAAAATTCAGGGGCAGTGGAGGGGGAGGAAGCAGCTGCCCTGGCCCCTGACCATTGTGCCCTCCCCACCTGGCTTTGTGAGGGCCATTTAACCAAAATAACAAGAGCATTTGCGGCTCCACTGAATATCCTGCAGAGCTTTGCCCAGTTTTTGGAGCTGGGGCAGGAATCTGTGCGGGGGTTCACCCCTGGGTCATGCATTTAGGCATCAGCACACTCCCCAAACCTCCCCAATCCTCCTTAATTAGGCATGGAAATGCATCGCAGGCTCACGCTCTGCCACGGCTGCAGAAAGCCGTGGGGGAAAAAAGGTGGAAAAAAAAGGAGGAAAGGATTTATAAAAACAAGGGGGAAGGATGGAAGGGGAAAAAAAAAAGAAAAAGAAAAAAAAAAAGGGAACGGCAGCTCCAAGTCAATGAGCTGGGTAATGAAAATTCAGGAGCTGTGTGTGTTGGCTTTTATTGCAAAGCTGTTCCTAGAGGGAAAGGCAGGAATTAATTCGGTATTGGAGGCTTGGGGGGTTTGGGGTCTGGTTGTTTGTTTTACCTGCTGGTTCCCCCCTGGTTTCTGGGGAGAGCGGGGCTGGGGTTGGCTACGGCAGAACTGGAAAACCTCAACACCTGCCTACACCCAGACTTTTTACAGCCAGGGGATGGATTTGTGCCTTTCTGTAGGATTTTAGGGGGCAGGACTGACACAGCCAGAGCCACAGCATTGCTGGGATGGACACAGTGTCCCTGTTCCTGGCAGGGACCAGGCACCACATCCCCCTTCCCACACAAAGACCAGGCAATTGCTTGAGATGGACTGCAATAGGAATCACCCCTTTAAAAATCTCTGCATTTGATAATATCACTTCCAGGAAGCCACCCCCAGCTGTGGAGTAACCAGGCATTTCTGGGCAGGTTTAAATCCCAATTTACCAACTCATCAGCGTTTCATCAAGGGCGACAGCGATCGTTATCACTGCACAGCTCCAGCCAGCTCAGTTACCCACAGACATTCCCAGCTCCCATCCCTAGAAAAGGCAATCCTGTCTCCAGCAGCAGCAGCTTTCCTGAGAGCTGATGGCTGTGTGGCACTGCCTGAGCTGGGCTCTGCCAGATTTAGAGCAGAGAAGTGGCCCCAGCCTCTGCCTCTCTGCCTTTGCTCAGTTCTCCCTGATTTTACAGCCACTCTGCATCGTGGCTGAACTGGGATTTAGGGGGGGGTTGGCTCCTCAGTGCCAGGGCCCTGCCAGGAAACACAGACCCCCAAGATTTGGCTGCAAAAGGAGAAGCTGCAGCCCAAAGCTGTGGGCAAAGCCCACCAGAGCCACCCCAGCACTCTCAGCCCCCAGCCCTGTGCATCCATCCCCAGCCCCTGCAGATAATTCCACGAGGAACACGTAATGGAAGGAGCTAAAGGCAGGCCAGGGATGGCAGCGAGCAGGGGGCACTGCCAGGATCTGACTCAGAGCTCTGGTGCCAGCAGAGCCGGGCTCTGGTGAGCAGCACCATCCCCAAGGACCCCGCTCCGTCCCTGGCACACCCCCCACCAACACCACCACAGCCCTGCTCTGGGCTGGTATTCACCCAATTCCACGGCTCATTAAAGCTTCCTGGGAGGGTGAGCTGCTTGGGCTCCTCATGCCCGAGTTCCTGCTCAGCTCCACCAGCAAAACCCCCAAATTTATCCCCTCCCAGCCTCGAGGAGCGACACAAACAGCTCCAGCCCCCGCCCGTACTTGCAGTTTTTGCATTTTAAGCCGAACAACATTCCTTTCCCACAGACAGTGCAGGTCTGAGACATCCAGTACTTGGTGGAAAACCTGTGAAGAGAAACAGGGAGAGTGGGAAAGGAGGGATGAAGCCACATTTATCTCCCGAGCCCCCATTTATCCTGGCCTTGCTGCCCTCAAACGCCGCTGCAGGTGCTGAGGAACCTTCCTAGGGATGCCAGAGCACAAATCTGAGCCCATTTTGGTCATGCAGAAGGGCACAACCTGCTCCAAAGGGGTCCAAGCCAGCCAGGGCGGGCATTTGCCACTGGCTGGCTGTGGCTCCCCAGCTTTGCCCACCCCTGGCACCCCCCAAAAACACCTCCTTGCCCTGGGGATCCAAGTTTCCAGCCCACCAGAGGAGCAGCTGCCCCATCAAACAGCAGCACTGAGAATTATTTCCAGTGGTTTTCCCTCTTCAGGTAGATAGGGAAGGGTGATAATCCAGAGATGGAGAATTTGCTGAAGGTTGGCGAGGTCATGGATAATACACAGCTTTTATTGATAACGACTCAGGCCTTATCTAAACCCAATCTGGACTGAAATGGAATTTAAATGGGCTTTTAGGACAGCACAGCACAGCCTGGGAGAGATGGGGGAGAGCCCTGAGCGCCCTGTCCTGGATCAGAGGTGGGAAGGGGGATGTTCCTGCCCCGGGAACACGGCAGGGTGGGAGTACCTGTGTTTTATGGAGTTTCCCAGATCCCGCCGGGGGATCTGCGGGGACCAGCGAGGCACTGACAGCGTATCTGCAGGAGAGACAGGGACAGCCATCAGTGCTAGCCAAGGCTAAAGCCAGGGTTCGAGTTTCTGGGGAAGGGAGCAAAGAATGCACACCCAAAAAATGGGAGTTTCCTGGTATTTCCCCTTGGAGATGCTTCCCTTCTGGAAAGAAGAGACCTCTGGGCTTTGGTTTTGGGTGTGAGGGAAAGGGGGGTCTCCTGTCCCCCCACAACAGCCCCCAGCACCCAGGTGGGACCAGGGGGGTGATGCACCCATGTGCAGGCAGGGCAGGACTGCAAAGCTTTTGGAACCACATCGTGATGTCCAAAAAAACAAGGGAAAATAAAGATGGAACAGCATCTTTTCCACTTCAGAATAAGACATCACATCTCGCGCTGGGGGCTGAGCAGAAAGCCGAGCGTCAGACAGTCAGGAGGAGAATCCACTGGTATTCCAAGAGAAAAACAGAGCAAAAAGCAGCTTTGGTGCTCCCCTTCCATGGGAAAAGGAAGCAGAAAGGGTGAGGAAGAAGAGGTAAGTTCATTAGCACTGGAGCAGGACGTTAATTAGCAGCGTGGCCGTGCCTGGACTCCACATCCCCTTCAGCCTCGCAAGGGCAGAGTCCCTCCTCTTCCTCCTCTTCCTCCTGGAGAGGAGGCCACGGAGAGGTCGTGCCCTGCAGGAGGGAATCTGTGCTGGGATTCAAGGGCTGGATTTTCAATGAGGGATTTGAGAGGTTTCCCAGGCCCAAGCCCCAAAGCCCAGCACGAGCCGAGGGCCGAGCGGCACAGCCCGGCCGTTTGCTCCGTGTGCCGGCAAATCCCTGGGCAAACACACGCTGGATATTATCCCTGGGAGTCTGGAGAGCCACTGTTTGCTCCAATATCCCATTTTAATATAGCAGGCGGAGGGGAGCTCTAATTGCACTCGCCTGCTGAAGGTTACATTTACATCCTGCTTCCTGTGCCAGGGACCAAGTCCTGGGAGCATCCTGAACTCCATCCTTCTCCAGGATCATCCTAAACTGCCTCATTTTCCAGCATCATCCCAAACTGTCTCCTTCTCCAGTTCCTCCCTCCAGCAGCTGCTCCAGCTCCTTCTCTTACTCCGCTGCGTCGGTGCCGGACATTCCACAGGCAGAGCCAGCAGCGAAGATGTCAGATCACAGAATCATGGAATGGGACCTCAAAGCTCATCTAGTTCCACCCCCTGCCATGGGCAGGGACACCTTCCACCAGCCCAGGTTGCTCCAAGTTTATCCAACCTGGCCTTGGACACTTCCAGGGATCCAGGGGCAGCCACAGCTTCTCTGCCCAACCTGTGCCAGGGCCTGCCCACCCTCACAGCCAGGAATTCCTTCCCAATATCCCATCTCTCCCTGCCCTCTGGCAGTGGGAAGCCACTCCCTGTGTCCTGTCACTCCCCATGTAAAAAGTCATTCTGCCTATTTTTTCTGAGTCTTTTCAAAGTCAATGAGGGGATTTGATCTCCCCATCCCTGCTTTGGCTCTTTCATCCTGTGCCAACATTTTTGACCCGTGGTTCTCCCCAGCCATTGAGACAACCCTCCTCCCCACTGTCCCAGCACCTGCAGCCTCCCAGGGGTTGGGAAGCTGGTCCCCAAATCCCGGGGGGTGACGCTCCAAAGAGTGTCACCGCTCCACATCCCTCCCCAAACGTCAGCGTCTCACCAGTAAATCGCATTACACAAATGAGTTGTCATCATCCCCCTTCCAGCCCCGGTCCCTGAAGAACTAAACACCCGGGCAGGAACAGCTCCTCTCCCAGAATTAAATTACAACCTCCGCTTTATCAGCCACAATTTATTTTCCACTAAACTTTCAGCTGGCCTCAATTAAATCCTGCCAGCCCGGGGAGGGGGAGAGGGAACGGAGGCAAAGACGGCCGCTGAGCCTTTTAATTACTTTCTAAATGCGCTCACTGCAATAAGGTATTAAAGTGTATCGGGGATTTTGACCTCCCAACACAAATGAGACCTGCGTGATTCACGGCTAATTACGCTCATTAGAGGCAGCGATACACGTCGGATGGCGGTGTTTAACAATAGAGGGGAAAGCAGCCGAGCGGGGCAGGAGGGCAGGGGAAGGCACCCCGCGGCCGTGGGGAACAGCCCCGAGAGTTTGGGGAGCTGCGGAGTTAATTGGCCATTCTTTCCCCTTTAACCTGTGCAGCGAGATTCCCACCCGGAGGAAAAAGCTGCTTCTCCCTCCCGGTGTTTTAAATCAGGGTGATAACCAGAGGGAAGTGAGGAATATTCCCACAGAAA